TTTGCAACGGATTTGATATAAGGTTTCCAATAAAGATCAGAAGTAAGAGTTAATCCTAGAAAATGAAGGGTAGATGACTCATCAATTATATTACCGTTTATTAATATAGGAAGGTCTAAATTATCGCGATAAGGATTGACTGAAAAAAATTGAGTTTTATCTGAATTAAAGTTCACCAGCCACTGTGAGCCCCATGCTGTAGCAGAAGTGAGATCTTTTTCAAGCTCAAATGCCCCCTGCAAGCAATCAGAGGGAGTTGGCTTCTTATCGTGACAAGAATAAATGGTAGTATCATCAGCGATTAATGCTACCTTAGATGTGAGAATATCTGGAAGATCATTAATGTAAATTAAAAAGAGTATAGGGCCAAGGATTGAACCTTGAGGAACCCCTGAGGTTACAGAATAAGAAGAAGAGTGCTGTCCATCGAGGACAACTTTCATACTACAATTAGAAAGGAAGGATTCAATAATCTTAAAGATGTTTCCAGATACACCGTAAGAAGAAAGCTTATGGAGAAGACCAGCATGCCAAACTTTATCAAACGCTTTAGAAATGTCAAGAGCCTTTACCTCTCCAGCTTTATCTAATGCGTGATAAAACCTCTCGTTTTTACTGTTGTTACTGTTAGCAAATCAGCCATAGAACAAGAAGATCGAAATCCATATTGATGATCAGAAAGTAAGTTATTAGATTCAAGAAGAGAGATTAAGTGTTTGTTAATTGAAGATTCAAAAACCTTGCTTATAATAGGAAGAAGACTAATAGGACGGTAGTTAGACGAAACAGATTGCTCTCCAGAATTTTTAAAAATAGGGATAACAGATGCTGCTTGCCAGCAGGCTGGAAAACAAGACTCTGATAAGTGCTTGTTAAATAATTTTGAAAAGATAGATGACAACTCCGAGAACATTTCTGCATGACCACAACAGGTATGTTGTCAGGGCTGCAAGCTGTAGAAGAGCCTAAGCAGGAAATCACTTTAGATACAGAAGCTGGAGTGATACGGATGTCGAGCAATGGATCAACCTGTTTGGCGATTATATCAGGTAGAACGCAACTAGTGGAATCAAGAGAAGATATTGATGAAAAGTTTTTAGCAAAAAATTTAGCTTTGTCTTTAGGTGACAAAGTCTGAACCATACAAAAGAGGTTGTCAGCGAAATTCGAGGGGTTTTAGGTCGGCATAAGCGTGCCGACCATAAACAACGTCAGGTCGGCAAAAAAAAAAAAAAGGATTTTTTGCTTTCTGTTACGATAGGGGTAATGATTAATTGATTATAAAAGAATTGCTTTATAATAGCATAGCTTCAGACAATAATATTTTAAAGAATGTAGCAATTAAATTTTGTGTAGTAAATTAAGTATATAGCAATTTTATGAATAAGTGTTTTTTAGTTTTGAAGTTGTTTTTTTTTTTTTTACAAAAAAAATGGTCATAGTTTATTTATTACATTTTAATTGGTTATTTAGATTGCTCTTAGAAATAACGTCGTTTAGAAATACAAATTTAGTTTATGTGCTGAAGGCGAAGATTTTGTTTAAAACGGCAAATTGTTTAACAAAATGAGTAGACAATTAACATCCGGTTGTTTAACCTCTACAAGAAATTAGCATTTTTCCATTAGTAGGTGATTTTCAATATTTAATTGTAGCATAGTATGAACTTGTAACTATACGTATATTGATGGAGGGAAAACAAAAGTTAAAAATACTAAAAATAGTTTTTTTTGTTATATCTAAACATTGTTTTGAGCTTAGTATATTACAGTTGGGATTTAATGGAAGCCTAAACTTTTATGAAATTAAAAAAAAGTTTTGTAACTAATGTTTTTTCTTCGCATGTTTCTAACATAACTATAACAAGGCTAAACTTTCCTAATATACTTTCCGATCTTAAATAATTTTAAAAAAACCGTAAACATGTAAATTATTTAATTAGTTAAATGGTTTTTAGTAAAAAAATAAATTAAAGTTAGATTTTATATCTTAATAAAATAATAATTGCGCTTAAAAAAGCGTGAGAACAACAGGTATTTAAAAAGTATTATTTTTTAACTTTGCTATGCTTGAATAAATTTGAGAAAAAAAGAAAAAATGAATTAAAAAAAAAAATGAATGAATATTTGTTTTAATAAGACATGTTAAACTTGAAAAGCAAGTAATTACAATAAAAAAAATTGTAAAATAATATTTAACGAATATTAGATATTTTTTACATGGCATTGCCGAATGCCAACCTAAATTTCGCTGATTGAAGAGGTGGAATTACAGACTTGGCCTTATTATCGATACTATTAAAGATTCTCCAGAAGTCACGAGAGCCTAATTTTTGAGTTGAAATACGAGATTTCATGATCTGAGAATAGCGGGCTTTGGCTTTAGACAAAACCTTTTTTATAATATTTCGTTAGACAAAGCCTTTTTTATAATATTTATAATATGTTTTTATAATATTCGCTAATTTTTTAATGAGTGACTTGTATCTTTTTTGAAGCAAGAAACAAAAGTTTATAAAATGATAACACATAAATGTTAATTATTAATAATATATGATAATAAAGAATAAGTTTATAAATGATTATTTAGAAGCCCGACTCAGTTGATTAGTTTCTAAATATTCAGTCTTTAATAAAAAAATTTTCTTTTTTATATATAATTTTCAAAACCTTTTTACTACCCGTAATAGTATCTAAAGAATACTATTTTGGAGTCTTTAGATTAATTCCGCTAATCGGCATTAATATGAATTTAGTTAAAATCTTTTGAAAAAGTTTCTTAATTTACTACTGATCCTAGTTCTAATCGATTCTGACGTATATTAACTATATGTAGTTGTCAAAACACAATATTTCTATTAATTTTCGCAAAAAATACTAGAATTCCGACCAAGAAAGAGCTTATAATTATAGAAAATTGCTAATAAACGATCAGAACAGATCATATTTTTAAATTATAATGTTCATTTCACCTAAAAAACGTATTAATATAAAATCTTATTCAAATTTGGACGACCGATTGTGATTTTAAGATGGTTTAAAAAAAAAAGAATCATCGGTCTGGATTTTTTCGCTACAAACATTTTTTTTAATGTTGATTTAGGTGCCCCAAGAAGTTCTTACGGTCTTATCACAGAGCACCGCGGAAGAGCATTTAATAGGAAGTTCACGCCTCCTTCCCAACCGATGTCGCAAAACTTGTCCAGAGGTGGGGTTTGAACCACGGATCTTACGTTTCTGAAACAAGTGCGCTACCACTGCGCAACGGCTGCTCAAATTATATTTTATGATACCGCAAATTTTATAATTTTAAGTTTTTTCGTCTTTTCATAATTCACAGACCAGACCACTTAACGGGAAAATATCGTAATCAACAAAATATTATACACACGCTCTAATATTTTAAAAGTGCCTTAACTACACCGAGCATGCTTTGATATTTTTTTTAATAAAAAATATAATTTATTTTTTAATATAAACATAAGCAATGTTAACGTTTGAAAATATTTATTTTCAAGTCAAGTTGTTTAGGTTATTTTGTAGAACTATTTAATGTAAGATTTTAATTAAGTAAAGTTGACACTAAATTTCTTGAATTAAAAAAGGAAGGATTAAGCTGGAAAAAAAGACTTTATTTTTATTGAAAGCTTATAAAGTCTTGAACGAAAAATAATAAAAATAAACAACTAATATTCATCAGTATGATAAAATTTTCTGATTTTTCTTCTGATGGATGTCATAAGAATTTAAGCAAGGTAAAATTTTTATCCCACTACTTAAAGGCAGTGCTTTTTTTCGCTTTCGTGAATTTCTTATGCAATTTAGCTTTATTTATCTCCCAATATCTTCATTCGATGCGTTCTAAAGAGGCATTAAACATTTTTCAAGTCACTTCTTTTGATAAATTTCACTATTTATTATAAAATTATTAATGAAACTTTGTTTTTCACATTGAAATATTGTTTTTATTTATTGCTTTCTCTGGAATTTCTTCAATTTTGGTCTTATAAATTTGTCTCAAGCTTTTTCTTTCAGACTTTCATACAAAAATGGTGTCCTGGTATAATTTTGAAATTTAAGTTTACAATGTGAAATTAAATTTAAAAATGATACCATGATGATGCATTATCGATAATTATACTTATTTTTATTTGTACACATATTTTACCATTTTAATGCCCAACTACTTGCCGATAAATTTTTTTCAGAATTGCGATCTTGGGCTTAATATAACTTGAAAGGACTTGATTTTATAGTTTTTCTTTATAATACAGACATTTTGTCTTGTAGTTTTACATTTTAGGGCCAAATCTGGCTCAAAAAAACGTTAGCATTTGCCCTAATTTTGGAAAAAAGCAAGTGTTCAGTTTTTGTTGATTTTCAAGTTGTTGCTGCTTCCAGGTTTTCTATTTAATGTATTAATTGTTAAATTTTCTTTAAAGTTTTAATTATAATGTTTTTAAATCATCTGATAATTTACAATCGACTTTAAAAGCAAATTTTCCACTCAATCATGTAAAGTTACATCACCCCTGTTGCTGTTTTGTTGTTATTTTAAATACTAATTAAATTTCATCTAAAGAAAATATTTTAATTGATTTACTATTGTATGTATTGACATTTGTAATATTCTGTGCAATTTTTGTAGTGGCTAAATTTTAAATAAAATTAAGTGTCAATTTTATTTAACCCACATAAAATCGACACTTATATATCTTATATAACTCTTTTTTTTTTTTAGAAAACATTTGAAGAAATGATGAAAATAGACTTACTCAAATATAATCATGAATTCAATAGAAAAAAAAGACGTATAATTTGCAAAAAAGCAAATTTTTTTTTAAATTTATCTTTAAAATTTGTATTTTGTTAACAACTTTTTAGATATATTCATTTTGCAACACTTTTTAAATTTTTTGTCTATATTCCATGTGGAATTTCGCATATATATATATATATATATATATATATATATATATATATATATATATATATATATATATATATATATATATATATATATATATATATATATATATATATATATATATATATATATATATATATATATATATACATATATATATATATATATATATATATATATATATATATATATATATATATATATATATATATATATATATATATATATATATATATATATATATATATATATATATATATATATATATATATTTATATATATATATTGGTGTATGTATGTGTATATATCATGGCCTACTATATTCACGGCCGTATATTTTACAATTTTTTTTTTTTTTTTTTGGAGGAAGGGGGGGGGAATTTAAGAGAACGATTTTTTCTTTGCCTCTTTTTAAATATTTTTAAGTTACTATTAGAAACCAAATCCTTCGATAGATCTTGTTATTAAAAAATACATTAACAAGAATTTTTGTTGAAAAAGTTATTACCCAACTTTCATGGTTTTCTAAATGAACTTTTAAAACCTTTATAGAAACGATACTTCCTTATTGAACTTTATTTAATAAAGATATTGATGATAAAAAGAGCTTTTTAGGCAGTAGTTTGTATGCCTGCAAAGATGTATATCGTAAAAGCAATGCATATCGAATCATCTCTGCTGAGTACGCTGAGAGGCCTGCCTTGTGGCTGAGAGAGCTCTCTATCTTTAATTCATCTAAAATAGTGTCATGATTTTTTAATGTGTAGTTTCTCATATAAAAAGGAAAATTTTCTGACATGCTTATTTTAGTAGGTTTTGCATTATGTCTTTTAACAAACCGATTTGATAATGGAAGTGGTGTTTCATTGTATTGCAAACGTACAATTAGATCTACATCAGCTGTTATTGATTCTAATATAGTCGGAAAATATGTCTGTTCATTAAATACTATATCATAAAATACAACACCTTTTTTAAATCATTTAAATTGAAACCCTAGTGGTGCTACTGCATCATTTAAATTAAGTACATTTGTAATTATATATTTTTTTCTTAAATATTTCAAACTAATCTTTTTGGAATATTCTCGATTTGTAGTTGCCCCACCAGAAACAATAAAGAATCCAATTTCTACTTCAGAAATCATAATAAATAAAACTTCATGTTCAGCAAGTGGTTTAAAATTAAAAAATAGTAATGTGAAGAAAGCAGATTTGAATATATCTTATTTATTAATAGACTTTAATATTTTGGCAGAAACAATATGTTTGTATTCAGTTTGCCCAGAATGTAAACAAATGTACTCAAAATTTAACAGCAAAAAAGAAAGGGTGGAAAAATAAACTGAGACTTTCCTGTACTTTGTGTCAATGGAGTAAAAATATTTTCACCTCTAAAGAAATTATTTTAACAAACAAAAGTGGTCAAAAATATTTTGATATTAATATTAGATGTGTGATGGCATTTTAAAAAATAGGCAAAGATCATACATCAATTCAGAGCTTTTCGCGTATACTAGTTTAACGAATCCTATAAATCTCAATATATCGCTTATAACAAAATTAACAACAAAATGTTAGATTCATTCATGATTGCTTCTAATGAAAGTATAGTCAGTGCAGTAAGGGGATGCAAAATCAATGCACATGAAGTTGTTGAATGTACTGTATCTCTAGATGGGAAATGGCAAAAAAGAGGTCATAAATCTCTTAATGGTGTTGTTACCAGCAATATCTCGTACTAACGATAAGGTTAACTATGAAGTCCTTTCAAAACAATAAAGTGCTTTCAAAAAACGATAAGGTTAACTATAAAGTGCTTTCAAAAAAGTGTCAACGTTACCTGTCGTAACAAAAAAGGTACCAAAGATGAATACCAAATATGGAACAGCCGCCATAACTGTTCAATAAACAACAAGTGCTCAGCAGGCTCAATTGGGTCACAAGGAGCTAGAGCAATTTTTCATCGATCAATTCAACAAAATGGCTTGATCTATAAAAATTATGTTGGAGATGTGACAGCAGCTTATTTCTTAAAGATGTAGAGAGTAAACCATATAGTAATGACTTTGTTATTAATAAACTTGAATGTGTTGGTCACATACAAAAAAGACTTGGGAATAGACTAAGTTCACTACAACAGAGTATGAAAGGTCAAGTATTAGTAGATGGTAAAAAACTTGTTGGAAAAGGGCGCTTAACTGAATCTGCTATTAAATTACTGCAAAAATACTTTGGTGGTCCATCAAACGAAACTCTGCAGTTTATAGCATGAAAAAATGCCATTATTGCAGTTATGCTTCATTGTAGTGAATCAGACACGAAAGCTCAAAGACATCTAATTGTCCAA